TGAATGGAAGGGAGAAAGCAAAAAGGATATCGGAGATTTTTGTCCCTTCTTTGCTCATTCCCATACATAGAATGGAAAATAAATCATTTCTGATATCTCAGTTACATCTAAGCCACATGGGATGTGAATCTGGCTATTGCCTTTCATCAAAGGATTTCTAAACATCTCTTAAGTGTGTCAATAATCTTCTAAATACTCTTGTGAAATTGTAGCTGGCAGTATTATCATCTCTGCTATAGTGAGGGATACAGGGAAGCAGTGACATACTAAATGATGTTTATATCTTCCATTCAGAAATTTCCTAGTAGTTTACAGGCCAATGTAATGATCAATTTTATGAATCTTAGTGAGATTATGTGATTTGCCCTACCTTAGGGGAAGAATTTCTGGATCTCTGAGTCTTACCTGCTTTACTAAGTTAATTTTTCCCCCAACACACACTAACCCTCAGCTCTGCTATTCAAAATTATATTTATTCAGTGTTTTTAAAGTCCTGTAGGAGAAACTCAGATCATTAACTTGAGGAGTTTTTGAGGTATTTCTGGTTCTTATTTAGGAATCAAATGATAGTTCATTTTTTTTCTAGAATAATTTATTTAATATTGTCACCACTGTTGGTAACATTATATAATAAAATTCATCCACTTCCTCTGTTCTGAGAGTTCTATTTTGGATATGATCAAGTGATAAGTTAAATGAAATAGGAGAGGATAGTCTTAGTAATATGACTAGTGCTACAAACATAGTTACTTTCTATACTTGTTAATATAAAATTTCATTTCATATGTGTATCTTAAATTCTTCTTAACAGCAGTAATGTAGCATCCAGAATTTTTATCTTGGTGTATCTAAACCCAGGATACCTCAAAATGGAAAATAGTATTTAAGTTATGAGCCCAAGTGTAAATTTGTATTAAGCTGGAGGTGAGAAGTTAGAATACAATAGATAGGTGCCAATTGAAATAATTAATTTTTAAAATTATGTATGTAATAAAATTTACCATTTTAACCATTTTTAAGTGTACAGTAATGTGTCATTAAGTACATTTACATTGTGCAGCTATTACCATCATCCATCTCTAAAACTTTTTTCATCTTGCAAAACTGAAACTTTGTACCCATTAAACAGTACCTTCCTATTCAGCCCTCCTCCCAGCACCTGGCAACTACCATTCTATTTTCTGTCTTTATGACTCTGACTACTTTAAGTACCTCATTTGAGTGGAGTATATCTGTCCTTTTGTTAATGGCGTATTTCACTTAGCATATTGTCTTCAAGGTTCATTCATGTGGTGGCACGTGTAAGAATTTCTTTCCTTTTTAAGGCTGAATAATATTCCATTGTATTCCAAATGTATGTAACACATTTTGTCTACTCCTTCATCTGTCACTGGACATTTGCATTGCTTTCACATTTTGGCTATTGTGAATAATACTGCTGTGAACATAAATATTTGTTCATGTCCCAGCTTTCAATTCTTTTGGGTATATATCCAGAAATGGAATTACTGGGTTATATGCTAATTCTATGTCAGGTTTTTGAGGAACTGTTTTTCACTACAGCTGTACTATTTTACAGTCCCAGCAGCTGTGCCCAAGAGTTCCAGTTTCTCCACATCCTGGCCAACACTTGTTTTTTGTTTTTTTGATGTTAGCCATCCTAATGGTTGTGAAGTGGTAGCTGATTGTGCTTCTGATTTGCATTTCCCTAATATTAGTGATGTTGAGCATCTTGTGTTTATTGGCCATTTGTGTATCTTTGGAGAAATGTCTGTTTAGTGTTTTGTCTGTTCATGGGTGTCCATTTTTTTAAACCAAGGGAGCAAATTTAAGAGGTGCTTATAACATTACAAAACTACCAGAGATGTATCACTTTTCAGTGCTAGCTAAGACTGTCAGAAATTGGATAAATAGGAAAATATTTATCTCATATATCTAAACAAGTTTTGTCTGTTCTTTCTTTATAAGGTTTCATCCATCTCTTCCTCTCTCTTTCTATTAACATCATCATACTCCACTTAACATAATCTCCTGTTTGTATAACAGTTGTTTGTGGATAAAGAGTGGGTTTGAAAAATGGTAACGGCATATAGTAAGTGCTATTTTCATGACTGATATATTGACAGTGAGCCCACTTCTAATAGAATGGGAAAATAAATGGTCATAAATTCCTGTAATAGGTTTACTCTTCTTACTCTGCTTTAACTCCTCAGTTCAACAAATATTTATTATGCACAGGACTTGAGACCTAAGTTTCTCTCCCTCAAGCTGTGTGACAGTGGACAGATCACACCAACTCTTTCTTATTGGATGTACTAAGTGATTTCTTAGATTTCTTCTAGAAATTTATTAAATCTTTTATACTTCTTTTAAATATTACCAGATTTTGCTTATTAAATACCTGAATTACCTGAAAACACATTACCCACAATAAATCATGCTTCTAGATTCTTACTAAAGTATTAAAAAGTGGGAGATAACAGTCTAACTTGACTAACTTAATTTGCCTGGGGTTCTTAGATCAACCTAGTACCTAAACAAGAAACCTTTTCAATCTAAGGATTTAATTACTTTCTCTAAGAATTAACTAACAATAATACAGCAATAATATTTTGAACAGATAATTCAGGGTGTGGTTTGTGTCCTTTTAATAGGTAATATTGCATCTTAATATTTAAAAATAGATGATAAAAAATGCTGTACTGTGTACTTTTCAGTTTTTATTTCTACTTTTGAAGTTTTATGAAATATCAAAACATCTCATGTATCTGAAGAGGGCAATATATATGCCACAGCTAAATACTAATACATTTTGGGTTATCTGCCCTTTTTATTTGTTCATGTCTCTGTTTTCTTCCTGTTACATTAAGAATTCACATTAAATTTTTAGATTTCAAGTGGACTTCTAAAAGGTATGAGTAATTTTTTGAAACATAAAATCTAGAGGACTTGAAGAGGGATTTTTCCAGGAAAGAGATACAGATGGCCAACAGACATGAAAAAATGCTCCATATCACTAGTCACCAGGGAAATGCAAATCAAAACCGCAATGAGATATTACCGCACACCAGTTGGAATGGCCACTATCCAAAAGACAAGAAATAACAAGTGTTGGCAAGGATATAGAGAAAAGGGAGCCCTCCTACACTGTTGGTGGGAATGTAAATGGTGCAGTCACTGTAGAAAACAGTATGGAGGTTCCTCAAAAAACTAGAAATAGAAATACCATATGATGCAGTAATTCCACTTCTAGGCATTTACCCAAAGAAAACAAAAATCCCTGATCCAAAAAGATATATGCATCCCTGTGTTTATCACTGCAGTATTTACAAGAGCCAACATATGGAAGCAACCTAAGTGTCCAACAATAGATGAATGAATAAAAAAGGTGTGGTACCTACACAATGGAATATTCAGCCATTAAAAAGAAAGAAATCCTGCCATTTGTGACAACATGGATGAACCTAGAAGGTAGTATACTAAGTGAAATAAGCCAGGCAGAGAAAGACAGATACCATATGATTTCACTTATTTGTGGAATCTAAAAACAAAGCAAAAGTAATAGCAATAGACCCATAGACACTGAGAAGTGACTGGTGGTTACCATGGGGGAGGGGTTGTAGTTCGTAGGTAGGGAAGGTGAAAGGGATGAAGGGAAACAGAAATCTCAATCATAGTATAAGTTGGTAACAAGGATGGTAGTACAGCTTGGGGAATACAGCCAAAGGTCTGTAACATGTTTCTATGTGCAACTTGGGATAAGGGTTTAATAATGTGAGTAACTGTTGCACCACTGTGTTGTATACTTGAAACCAATATAATAATTGTATATCAGCTATGCTTCTATGAAAAAAAAAGAAAACAACTAATCTCAAGAAATAATGTTAAGTTAGACTAATGTGGATATAATAGCAAAATTAAGTGGACTGTTTTTAGATTAAATTTTTATATTTAATATTTACTGCAGTAATTTTTATAAATTATCCATCCCTTCTATTTTCTCTTGCTCCTGTCACTTGTTTGTCAGTAGTCATTTATGCATAGTCATTTCGAGGACCTATAAAATATTTTTTTGTTTTCTATACTACAGCCTTTATAACACAATCTTTTTTTTTTACTTTTTGCTTTATGCTTAAATTCTCTAATATTTTAAGTAACTTCATTTCTGTTTCTCAGGGATCCAGAAAGTACTTTTAAACTGCATTTATCACTGGGAAAACTAGTTTTAATTTATATCGACCTTTTTCTCCTTTGAGCATTTAGTGTGCATTCAATAAAACGTTGATGACTGCTCTTTAGAAGACAGCTGTACGAAATAAAGTATTATAAATATTCAGCTTTCCTTTCTAAGCATTGTCACCAACAGCTGGGCATCTAGTTTGGCAGAACAGATTTTGCACAGAGTGAGCCTAGTATGTTCCTGAATCAGTTTAGTGAAGGAGACAAAAAATAGTTTCTTATAGATTGGGGACTTATAAAGACATAGAGCATCTGTTCCTCAGTTAAGTCATAGTCTGATAGCACTGAATCATGTTTAAAGCTAGAATAATGTGCAAAACTTTTTTCACCTTCCTTATACCTGTATTTTGATACATAGTGCATTATTTCTCCAAATAATAATAGTATATTTTCAGCATCTCCATTGCAGGTATGTAAAATATTTTGCCTTTCTGTATAATTTATTAGTGGTATTTTAGAACACACAAACATTAATTTTTTATGTTTATAATGACCTTAATGTATGAGTTGTATGAAGTGCATATATAAAAACCACATATTTTTAAAGATCCAGTTAAAATATTTAATTATGATTCCATTCTGAAATATGCTATTAAAAAGACAGATTCATCATTGTGGAAATGGCTTGGCTTTCTGCATATAGTATGCTACTTTAGTTGAAGAAAGTAAGTTAGGATCTTTGTTTACATATATTACTCTTAAATATTTGGCTGTTTAAGTTTAGCATATCAAAATCTAAGATTTCTTTATATTTTTATTTGCAGTGTTAAAAGATCACTGAAACTGGATGGTTTGTTAGAAGAAAATGTAAGTATTTATGAGTTTGTCATTGCATAATGGATTGTATTTTAAATTTTTTAATAGCTAATTTACCTTATAAATATAAGTGACCCTACTAAATATAAAAATTATCAAAAAATACTGCAATGTAATTGTGATTGGTCACCATTTTCTACATACAGAATATTCTTCGAAATCTAATATATGTAAGTTCCTGGCCATTTTGACGTTTTCATTGAAGAGGCAAATTATTTAGAAACCTTAATGAAATAATTTAATAGATATTAATTCACTATTTGTAGAAAAAAAATACTCTGCCACTTAAATGCACAAGAAACAATATGGAATAATGGTAATGCTTTAATCCACATTCTGCAATCTGCTAAATTGAAATAAAAACATTAACAGCATATTTGTATCAAAAATTTAATTACCTCCCTCAGTTATGCTGGCATGATTAAACAATAAAATACTAACTCATAAATACTAATAAATCTCACCATGGTTGTCACAATAAAAATAAAATTGTACTGTTGCTATTACTTTTTGTAAACCTACTCATAGTACATTCCCAGTGCCAGCTCTCATGACATATGTTGGTTTATTATCTTTTCATAGCAATGGATCTTGACACAGTATTAATACTGAGATACTTATAGCCTCAGTAATCTTAAATGCAAGTAAATTGATGACAAAGTAAATTAAAACAAATAGCTAGTCAATAAGTAGGCTCTTATAAAATCCCATATGAGACTACCGTTTTAAGAAATGGGTTTTATATGGAATTTCTCTTTGGAAGACTCATTGATATATATTTAACAATGTACCATTTTAAACACTTCCTAGGTGCTTTAAAAAAAATTTAAACAAAAGTGGCAAAATACTGCAATGCCACTAAAAAAATCATTAGCAGTGTAATTAGCAATTTAGAGTACCATTATCCAACTTGTTCTGTAAAGAATGCAGCTGTGGCTGTAATTCTGCATCTGTTTCTTTGGTCAGAATGGTATTTTGGTAGATGAGTAGTCCAGCTTGAAATGAAATACTGTTCTTTTCTGTCCCCAAACTGTTTTCTGGCAGATAGTAACATTATTTGAATGGAAAAAAATTGCCATTTAGGAATTCACCCTCTTCATGAAGTACAGTTATCTTCGTAGCAGGTTTTCTATCCATTTTTCCTTCAGATTAGGTTGTGTCAAAGTTGCCAGAATATATATAGGCCACACACAGTTAATATCCTGTATTAGAAAAATGCATTGTTATTTTTGGCCCAATGTTGTATCTTTAAACCAGTTGACTTAGCTTGATAACACATGGCCATAACCTGCTAAATGCAAGTTCCTAGTATCCTAGCCTTACCTGTCTTCAACATTTCTATTTTCTGACCAATTTCTATTATTTTCAGTTTTTGTACTCCTGTCTAATTATTTGTTTGCAGCTGTACAGTCACATCTTAAATCTAACAGCTTTTGCTCTGGTGTTGTCTACTTTTCTCTCTCCTTAGCTACATTTATGCTTCCATCTACTCCAGTAACAATTTAGCTCCAAAGCAGCCTGACTTCCAAGAATCTACCATATGCCAGTGATCCCATAGAGGCTGTCTTAGCCCATGCAAAGGCTCAGACATTCAAGGCATATACCTATAATTCTAAGAGTACCTAATTGCTGTGAAGCTACAGAGGAACTAGTTGTAACTGTGTGGTCATTTTGCCTTGCCGATATGATGCAGAAGGAAGAAGACTCAGTGTCTAAAGAAAAGAGCTAGAATATACTATCATATTCCAGTTAGTTGAAGTGGAGCCTGTTCATCCTAATCTACTGCTATTTCCTCTTCAGACATATTTGGAATTCCCAGATCCCAGTGTTCCCAATGTAGCTACACAATTTCATGGAGATTAATGCCTAATGATGTTAGAGCAAGTCTGCAAAAGTAATTTTTCTTATGATTATCCTGAAGGTGGAAATTGAAGTATGAACCTGTGACCTTCCATTACTATTTAGCATGTACATTGCAAGTACTACTCTTTGTTGAATCTCCCAAATTGTTGGGGGTAATGAGGAGTAAAGAAGGTTTCAATTTATCATAACCTACAGCGTTTATGCTGCTCAAGTTTTTTCCCTTCAAGCATTGTTTCTAGATGGATTTTTAGAAAGAAAGATGAATTATTTCTTACAAACTGCTGTCAGTTGCAGTCCAGATGAACATATAGGGATAACTGGCTCATTGGTCATAAATTTAGACTGCTTAATCCAGTCTCTTTCAGGCCACCTCCAAGAAGAAGCAGATGCTACAGATGGAAAGAGAAGGAGCATACTTCGTACTAAGGCCAACTCAGTAGGCATGCTGCTAGAAAGAATGGCAGTGCAGGTTTTGGGGGAGGCTTGCTGATTTGGACATAGATGCCCAGGCTAGGTTACTCCATTATTATTGGTAGGACACTAATAAGTGATTATTCCCATGGCCTAACTCTGTCTTATCCCTTATCTCTATGAGTGAAGACTTCTGTTGACTCCTGAAATTAGAAAGAACTTTGGACAAGGAAATTCTATAGCTCACATTCTGTAGTCTTACTTATAGAGCTGGCTCAAATTTACCTCTTTCTTTTCTTCCTCCCTCTCCTTCCACTTTTCCTTCCTTACCTTTTTATTATGGAAATTTTCAAACACAAAAGCGAGGAGAAAATTATAATGAACTCCTATGTACCATCGTCCAGCTTCAACAGTTACTAACATTTTGCTAATTTTGTTCCATTTATTTATGTGTGTGTGTGTGTGTGTGTGTGTGTGTGTGTGTGTGTGTGTGTGTATCTGTATATTTTTTCATGGAATATTTTACAAGTCCCAGACATGTCATTTCATTAGGATATTCTTCAGTACACATTTCTAACAGATAATGACTGTTTTTCATAACCATAGTGCCACTTACAAAGTTAGCAGTAATTCCTTAGTAATCTCTAATATCTTTTGCTCAGTCCTTATTCACATTTCAATTGTTACAAAATGTCATTTTATAGCTGACTTATTGAAATCAGCATCCAAACAAGGTTTAAACATTGTAATGGTTCTTATATATCTTAAGTGTTTTAAAACTTTTTAAATCTCACTCTCTTTTTCTTGTTAATTTATTTTTTGTAAAAACAGACATTTATTCTAAAAGCATATTCTACATTCTGGATTTGGTTGATTGTTTTCTTATGTCTTTTTTTTACTTTATTTTGACATATTCTAGTGTATCTCATTCTCTTAATGTATTATTTTTTTATTGAGGTATAATAGTTGATAGACAATATATTGGTTTCAGTTACACAACATAGTGATTTGACAGTTATCTATATTATTAAATTTTCTCCCCAACTACTGTAGTTACTGTCAATGTAGAAAAATATTACAGTATTATTGACTTTATTTTCTATGCTGTACTTTCATCCCTGTGACTAATTTACATTATGATTCAGATTTTGAGCCTCTTTATTCTCTTTACCTCTTTTACCCATCCACCCCAAACCCTCCCCCATAGTAATTTTGTAGTATCTTTTAAATGATTTCTCTATTGTTCATATTTCCTATAAAACTGGCAGTTAAAGCTAGTGCCTTGATTAGATTTTTGTTCAAATCTTTGGTAAGCATGCCTTCATTCATGTCACAAATAACAAGATTTCCCATTTTAAGAAGAGGGGCCCCCAAGGTTATGTTTCAAATCTTTTTGCCTGCTATAAAACATTCTGAAAGATAATTGGGGTTTGTTTGTTTGTTTGCTTTTAATACAAGAAGACATTTGTAAACCATTAACAAAACAAAACATTTAGAAAAACCAATACATTATATTTACACAGACTGGGTGATCTCACAATCACCAGTCAGAAACTTGTGAAGCTTTATAAATCTCAGACAAATAGAAGTAACTAGAGAAGAGCAGCACTGATGGAGGTAAGAACCCAGGATAAGACATACATCACCCAGTGTATTCTATTGCATTTGCCCTGTTTTAACACAGCAATGTAGTTTTGCAATGATCTTACAGCATGTAAATTAAGCCCACTTGCTCCTTTAGCTAATATGGCTCTACAACTACTATTGTAGCAGGGCAGGACACTGGCTCCAGGTATTTAAAAAACCCGTAACTAAAGGGTCTCTGTACAAGCCACACAGGAGAAGTCTAGAATTTTGAAAAGTTAAGGGTTTTCAGTTCTTGCTTTTTATGCTCATTCCTGGGCAGCACAGCTGAGTACAGGTCTATCATTTTTAAAACCTTTGCTTACCAACTCAGATCTTTAGACACACATGCATAGTAGGCCTAGCTTAAACCAGTGAAGGATGGATCTGGATTTGAAGCAAGTCCCGTGCTTGAATTAAAGATTTGGAGTAAGTATCCTTTATTATGTATATGGACAGCCCTTCATCTAACCTTGGCTTCCTCTCTAGACCCTTTACCTGGCCCAGCCTCTAAGCACTCTGCACCAGCTTTTTAACTCATCTTCTTTTCCAGTCTTCAGTAGAAGGGGATCAAGACTTGGGGCAAACAAATTAAAACCAAGTCTCCCATGAAACATTTTCAAGATGAAGGAGTTTCAAGAGAACAAAGAATGTAATGGCTTCCACATTGGGTCTATCATTCTGGTCTTAATGCCTAATCTTTTCAATCTGGCCTAGGAAATATTATTATATATACATCTTTAAAGGGAAAACCACTTCCCTATCCAGGCCACTTTCTAAAGCTTAAAATTGTGAGAGTGGAGTCTCAGATAAAGTATGCACATTCTAAGAGATGTCCATGAAAGCCCTCACTTGAGTTTGATAGCAGTGTTGGAGTCCCTTTTGCCTCACTCTCCCCCTTACCAAGAAGGAAGAGGGGTTGCTGTTGTGGCTCCTGGTCTAAGACATACGGCAATGCCAACTGCCCCCTACCCTTCCTGTCTATCCTGCTTGCTCCACTCTTGGCTAATTGACTCCTGCTCCTTGAAATTTTCTCACTGCAAAAACGTAGTCACTCACCCACCATAGCTAAATTCTATGCCTCTGAAAATAGG